TATATATAGTATTTATTATATGTATATATATATGTATGTTAATAATTATAATAATAAAAAGAAGGAATACCATTTTCCCTGAAGTCGAGAAGCCTTTTGTTGAACATCGGCAAATACTTTGAGTTCCTTGTGAATGCAAGTCCGTATCCAGTCTTAGCGTACCAGGATCCAACAGTGAGGAGTCGGCAGTCTTCGTCTTGAGCCACAAGATAGTCCAGCACGGTACCGTCATAAATGAAAGCGTCTAGGTCACTACAAAAGAAGTATAATAACAGTTATTGTAAAAAAAGTTGACTGTTTTTATTTAAATTTTCAATCCATCGTTGTTTTTGTTTTTCCACTTACTTGGAAGGTCTCCACAATAAACTAGATTTAATTTTAATATATATATATATGTATCCCGCCTTGAGGTCCAACGTGCTAAACACCACGGCCCCACTCAACCTATCAAGTATATCTTCGAATCTAGGGATCGGGTACTTTTCGTCTACCGTGTTGTCGTTCAACCTACGATAGTCCACTACCACTCTGTATTTTTCCTTATTATCCTCTGGCGCTGCCTTCTTTTTCACTGCCCACAGGGGACTATTGAATGGCGAGGTGCTATCGACTATGATCCCTTGCTCTTTCAGGCTTTCCAATTCCTCCCGAATATGCTGCCTCATCGCCTGCGGGTATCTCCTTTCCTTTACGTAGGTCACCCTATCTTGCTTCAGTGGAACTTCGTGTACCGTCTTCCCTGTTACCCCCAATACCTCGCCCTCCCTGAAGAAAATATCTACGAACTCCGCTTGTAACGCCTTTCTCCAGTCCTCCACCCTGTTCACCGCTCCTATCCGCACCCTTCTTTCTCTCGCGACCCCTATACATCCAAATTTCCTCTTTCCCAGCCTGATACTCCAAGCTCCTCTACGGTTTCTAATGCTTACCCCTACCTGTCCTAACAGATCACACCCTATTATGACTTGGTACTCCCGCGCCATGCTCTCTACCACATGCACCCTTAGCTCCCCCTTCTTCCCTGCCCACCGGTCAAGCGTAATTGACGCTTCCCCTTCTACTTTACAGGGACCACCCAGAGTGATTAGCTGGCAGCCACAGTTTTGTATCCGGAGTACCCTCTCGCTCCCGCACACTCTCCCCAACGCCCCCCGAGTCAAGATAGTACTCGAGCTCCCTGTGTCCACGAGACACTTCACTCCCCCATCTACTTCAATAATCGGCAACCAGCATGGCTTACCTCTAATATTGTTGCAGGTTGCTGTGCGGTCGCCTCTCTGCTGACACCCTTCTCAGATGCCACCTCGCTTCCTCCTTACCGCCGTCGCTCGTCGTTGCTCGCTCCGTTGGCTGCTCCTGCCTCCTTCGCCTCCACTGCTGGCTGGCTCGTCAGACTCCGTTCCCGACGTCCCCGACTCCTCGGTTGCCTCTTCCGAAGATCCGTCTCTCTGCTGCATCCTAGCTCGTTTTTTCAACTTTTGAGCGTTCACCTCCATTGGCTCGTCTAGAGGTCTCTCCCTCCTGCGAAACATGTACGGGCACTGTCTGGCAATATGCCCTTCAGTCCCGCACTCGAAACATCTAGTGCGCGGACATTGTGCTACCAAATGTCCCGGTTTCCCGCACCCGTGACATTTTCGGTCTTCCCTCCGGGGTCCATTCCTAGGCCTGGACTGTCCGGATCTTCTCTCGCCCGTCGTGGCTTTTTCTCCGTTCGGGTGTTTCATTTCCCTCTTCCTCCACCCTATCTGGGCTGTCCGGGGTCGTCTGTCACTCACTCGGGTCCACCCTGGTTCTTCTACTTCCATCCGCGTCTCTTCCTCTCTTGCACTCAGATCTATCATTTCTTGGGCACACTCGAGGAACGATCGCTCTCTAGGCAGTCCGTCCCTTCTCCCAGTCTCCTTAGCTAACTGAACCTTGAGTATTGTCGAAAGGAATTCCATCCTAGCCTCGACCTCTCCCACACTCATGGTTTCACGCATTTTCTCAGTTATGCGGTTGTACTTCGCCACTAGTACCCCCGCATACTGTCCTCTTGTTTGGCGTTGGGACCGACACTCCCTAAACATTTGGAAGATATCTTCTTCCGGCGTCCATCGGCCCCCTCCGAAAGCCTTCTTCAAACGCTCCTTAATCACTGGCCATGGTGTCTCCTCGTCCGCTTGGATTTGGTTGAGGATGTTCCTCCTCACTCGGCACACGAGAGCTGCCTTCAGTGCTTCTGCGTCTCCCAAGTTCACGAGGTCCTCCGCCACCTTTGCTTCGATTCTTGATATGAGGCGGTCTCCGCCTTTCAGGAAGTGATTAAGTTCACCTATCTCGCCCCCGAATCGCTCCAGGTCTGCGATTGCTCTCCGTAGATCCTGCGTGGTTGCTGCCCTTATCTTCATCCACTCCAATGCATTGGCATGCGCCTCTGCCAATGTGTCCCTAGGTAAGGGAGGGATCTCTTGTATCTGCGGTACTTGCGGTATCTGAGGTATCTGCGGAATCTGCGGAACCTGAGGGGCGATCTGAGGAATCTGCGCTATCGGCATTTCCTGAGGTTGCGGCATTTCAGGTGCGTTCAACACTCCTGGTCGAATTATGCCCTCTGTCGGCATCTCGTCTTTTCCTTATGACTAGGAGAAGAGAAAAAAAAATTAAAATAAAGACAGAAAAAAAAATTTTACTTCCGTGTTCTCCTGACGTTCTCCCGGGTTTCGGCACCAGTTAAGCGTCTCCGGGCTTGAAAAATAAAAAAAAAGAAGGAAAGAGGAACGAGAAACAATACTCACGACTTCTGAATAAACACTGCTTTATTCGTCCAATAATCTGCCTTATATACAATTGCTATGTTTATTTACATTACAAGATGGTATTAAGGCTGATATCGCCAGTCTCCGGTCTTTATCTTATATATACATATATATAGAGAGAGAGATGGAGATATGGAAAATATAGTCCTTACCGTCACTATATTTTCCATATCTCCATCTCTATTTTCTATTATCATTGGTCCCTGCTTTGTTACCGTTATTATTATTTATTTATTAGTACTCTGTTACTGTTATCATTCTATCTAATTCATTTTACGTCAAGTTTTTCTACCTTAAATTATTAGTCTATACCTTTCACCTTTTTTAATCTTAATTCTGTATTATTCAATGTTTATGGTTTCTTATACCTATTGTCATCTGATTCTTTTCCCAGCCCTGATGAAGACCTGAACTTCGGGCTGAATACGTCGGCGAATGTAAAAATAAATACATTTATTCATTTTTACCATTTTATTTTGCCTGATCACCCCAACCATCCTTCTCTTCTATTAACTCTTTTTATTTAATTTTTTTCACTATTATTAATATTTTTTGTATTTGTAACTATTTTGTCTTAAGTTTTGTTCACAAAACGCTTCTTTTTTTTTCACCAGTCTTGGTCTTAGTATTGCAACAATTAGACAATATTGGTATTGGTCTTGCAAATTGCATGCCCAAGACAGATTTTGGGCAACACTATTCCAGTAGACTATCGAATATAAGATTTTATGTCAAAGGATATATTTTTGCAATCAAGTTTCCTTATTCCCATTTTTATAGCAATTATTTTAAACGGAAATAAAATTTGACATATTTTGTTCAGTAAAAAGTCGATAAAATTTCCAGCCTCTTTATATCTAATAACTTTTTTTTTCTTCATATTTCCATCCACACCAGTCATGAGCTTGACAATAAGCAGATGTGCTGTAACTAATAAGAAAAAAATGACATTTTTAGGCATGAGGAAAAAAATAGTACCCAGCAGCACTTCTTCTTGGTCTTGATTTATTTCCTTAATTCAGGAAAGGAGATCTCTCATCCAGTTCCTCTTTAGTCGTCTCCTGATAGGCATGTCAGATGTGGCCATGTCGTTAATAAGTCCATTGTGATGTCCGTGTAGTTTAAGATGAAATCTGGAGTAGAGATCGCGTATGTGTTGGTCGATAGTTGGTTGTCGTAAGTCGTTATGTAAAGTTTTGTTGTTTACGTACCAAGGAGCTCCCGTTATAAGTCGTAAAATTTTGGATTGAAATGTCTGTAGTTTTTGTAAGTGCGTCTTTTTTGTAGAACCGTAAAATTGTGAGGCGTATTTCCATGTGTTTGAGTAGGTATTGAGTTTTTGTCTGATTTTCAATTTTGATTTGGAAAAAAAGTGAGTAAAGTGAGTACTACTAACTTAATTTATATTTCTAATAAATAAGTTTATTAACTAATAAATATCTTAGCAGTGCCTACTTTGGTAGAAGCTTAGCGGTAATACGTTCGGCCACAATTCAGGACACTAATCACGAAATCATAAGTACCAAGTCAATTTCTAAAAATGAATCAACTCAAATCTCTTTTATAGAGGCCTGGCGAGGTCGCCCTGTTGCCTAGCCATTATTCCATTTTTGCCTTCTAAGCTCTTTATAGTAAAAAATAAATAAATCACGTTTGACATTTCGCAACTTGGTCAAAATTGGTTCCTAGAGAGGTTCCCGATCAAGACTGAATTAGACGGCCGTTATGGGAATAATTGCCATTTTTTTTTCTTTTCGATCGATAGAATTTCGACATCGATTTCCAAATGGACCCATATGTTCTCAAGGCCTCATCTTAGCTCTAAAATGAGTATTATTTTCGAAATTTCGCAACAACTCATAGTTAACTATTTTGGCATAATTTCATCGAAACTAACTCAATAAAATCCTAATTAAACCTTTTCTAGAACGGCTTCGTGCGTACTGGGACTTTGGCATTCAGCTGCCTGGTGAAGGCTTTAGGTTCACGAAGAGGGTACACACCTCATCGGTATTTGGATCGAGGGAAAGTATCGCATGTCGGTTCAACCTTAGCCTCTAACGTTAAGCCATTAAAGTTGGCTGTTATTTTGAAGCAGAGCTAAATTAAAATCTTATACAACCTATTTGGAAAACAGATTTTATATAAAAATAGTAGAAGATCGTTAAATTAAACACAAACACTACAATGTATGCTGATATTTCGACCTTCTTTGTAACCGTTCTTTAAGGATACACAGGTGATTTTGGCATTTAACAGTAGGTATAAATATTTTGACTACACTAGGCGATTCTGACTTTATCTACAGCATATTTAGTGGCAAATCTATGTAACGAACGACAACATATTTTGGTTTATTATTTTCAAAAATCAACCATTGTGATCGACCAAAAAATTCAAAAACATAACCCCCTCTCAAAATTAGATGTTTCACGTTTCAGGACGCGTAGAATTCGAAAAACGAATACAATTTTTTTGTGCGTCCGCCGTCTGCGCATTTCCTCCGAAACTACTGGGCCGATTTATTTCAAATTTTGATGTAAAATCAGAGGTCACCCGAGGATAATCCTCCTTCATCGTCATTATTATCTGCCTTTTACTTTCAAAATGGCGGCCGAAAAAGCTGCGTTGCTATAGACTGTAGCTCCTAAACGAATGTACAGATTTCAATGAAACTTCGCTAAAGTCATTTTCTCGACGCCCTTTACATTTATCTATATAACATACTTCAACGAAAAGAAGCTGGAAAAAAAGTTACGAGGGATGGTAAAATTAAATTCCGAATAATTCGAAAAGTTTATACTTTTTTGTTGATATTGTATGTAGTTTTTGAAAGTTTACGAAATTTCCTAAAAAAAAAATCGTTAAAATCGGACAATTAGGAGCAAAGATATGGTCTCCGGTTTTTTAAATATTTTCTACTCCAAAAGTTATATCCTTGGTTTGGTTTTGAAATTTTGAATGTGTTACTGAACTAATGCTATTTTTTTTTTTAGCATATTACTAATTATTAAAGAGAAAAAGTTTAGTCCAATAATTGGAATCACCTTTTGTTTTTTTTTCTTTGTAACTCGGAAGGTAATGTTACTTTAGATGTATAATTGTTTGGAAATAATAAACCATTGTGAAATAATTTGCAGCGTTTTTTCTCTTTCGCTACTATGTAATAATTATATTGCTGAATTGGTTGCAATAAATAAATGTTTAAATGTTATACAGTCCACTAAACCAAAAAATGGTCATATGTACAGATTCTCTATCCGCCCTAATTAGTCTAGAAAATGTTTTCTCATCTAATATCATAACACAAAACATTCTGTATTAGATTAAGTCAGCACATAGAAATAATATATCAGTATTTTTGCTTTGGTCCCTGGGAATTGCGGAATAGCCGGTAATGAACTGGCTGATGGAGCTGCCAAAAAAGCCATTAATGATGGAATACATTATCGGGGAGTACCTGTAGAGGATTTTATAACTGTCATCAAACAGAACATGAAGACAAAATGGGAACAGATATGGTCGAATGTAACCGAAAATAAATTGAGGGAGGTTAAGGGTGACGTTTCCTCTTGGGCATCGTCAATTAGGAATAACCGCAGAGAGGAAGTTATTCTTAAGCGCCTGAGTATAGGTCATACACGCCTTACTCATGGATACCTGATGGCTCGTGATTCTTTGCAAACATGCCAAATCTGTGGCACTCCTCTGACAATGAAACACATTTCAACAGAATACAGAGCTTACGAAATATTAAAATTATCTTGTGACTTGACAAACGATCTACACTTTATTTTACAGGACAATACGAATGAAATCGATAAATTATTTTCATTTCTGAAATGTTCTAAACTTGAAAATTCAATCTAATTCTCAATGAAACAATGACCCTAGTGGTTAAAGTCTTAAAAAAAAAAAAAAAAAAAGGCTACAGGGACAAGTATGACTTGAATCATACAAAAGAGAATATACAAAATGAAAAGAAAATATCTGGTATGTCAACTCACACAAAATTTTCTTGCCGACTTCAGACATATTTAAAATTTTATGAATTTGAGAATTAAAAAAAAATAGGGTTGCAATAGAAACACACACATAATACTTTTACTAATTCAATATAATTATAAAAATGATTTCTTCTTGAACATAAATCAGCAAGAGCTTTATTGAAAGTACAGCTATTAAAGAGTAATAAATACTTTTAATAATGGGAATTGCCTCGAGAGAAAATGCCATTAAATGTACATTTTTCAAAGTGTTATATTTATAGATTATATTCTCGGTAATAGATATTATAACTCGTCCTTCAAAGATGTAATCCCGTGATTGTATTTTTTTTTGCTTTTCAATGAATATAATCTTGAAATAGAATTAATATTAACTGATTTTTTTTTCTTAGCTTTTCTAAGCTTTTTTAAAATAACTTTTCAGCTATTTATTCAAGATATGTACTACTGTATTACAATATAAATGCATCAAGTAAATGTGTACACAGGAATAAAATCGCTTGTTGAGAAATTACCCACTGGTAGCACTCTAATAATAGGTCTATATAAGGAGTTCACGAGGCCATCTTCTTTTCAGACGCCTCGGAGGGTTATGAGGAATCGAAGATGAAGCAAGGTTAGAAACGAGAGGATTCGGATGGTTATGAAGTTTATTATGGAAGGATAGGTATCTGGATTGAGCCAAATTGGAAACATATGGCACATTAAGGTCTTTATGGATTATTTTAATTGTGAAAAAGTAACGAGCATTGAGGATTTTACGAAGGATTTTGGATTGTAAGGATTGGATACGAGAGGAATTTGATGGTTTAGTGGAGACAAATAGGTCTTATTATAGTCATGTACATTAGTGCTTAGTATAGTATAGTATTGAGTAGATACTATTGATGGTAAAATTTCAGAAATAAGTAGAAGAATATCGATAATATTGACTATAATTTTATGAAGTGTATTTTTATTTTAATTATAATTAATTTTTAATTAATTAATTAAGTATATAATTTTTAATGAAAAACAAAAGCGCTGTTTACACATCCATAAATGTTAAATTTATAAAATATAGATCAAATAATATTTTTTCAATTTTTACTTTCACTCACGTATATATGTAATATATAGTAAGGGTAAGTATTGCGATCGTGAAAATTTTCAAATCTCAGTTTTCAACGGAAATACATGTTTTGAGATCCCCTGAGTTCAAATAACCAAATGTCGCAAAACGAAAAGAAGCTGGAAAAAAAATTACGAGGGATGTTAAAATTCCGAATTTAATTCCGAATAACTCAAAAAGTATACGTTTTTTTGGGGATATTTATGGTTTTTTTAAAGTTTATGGAATTTCCTAAAAAGCAAAAAAAAAAAGTTAAAATCGGACAATTAGGAGGAAAGATATGGTCTCTAGTTTTTTTCTCTGAAGAGGCGAAAATTTGGATAAATTTAAAATATATTTTTTTAATTGTTGAGACTAAAAAAACCTTTTTTCTACAGATATTTATTAAAGTGTTTTTCATAAGAACATCTATCATAAGAAATAAGTACCTAAATTTATACCTTTATTCTCAGTTCTATATTTCAACACTGCAATCACCACCTCTGGAATCAACTTACTCATTGTCTGCATACATAACTTTTTCAACTAAAAATACCACTAAAATAAGATCACTCATAAACGTTGAAATTGGAGTTAGTCATTCTGTGGTTGGAAAGTTGTGTAGTTTATGAAAGCAGATGGAGTGGCTAGATTTTTATTGCCTGTCGTTGATATATTAAATAGACATTTTGTAATTATAATGGTCTTAATGACTTGTTATCTGTAAGATTTAAGCTTTAGCTCCGTTTAAAATGCACTTCAAAACATTTTATAATAGCCCAGCATTGCCAGAAAATAATTTCTATTCAAAGTAGATCGGTAAGTGAAAGTTGTGTGTTGCGCGCACCAGATTTTTATTTTATCATTTAAGCGCTAATCCTATTCCTTCAGACCTCGACCCGCCATTTCAGGTTAAATAAATTAGATTAAATAAATACTTTGTTAAACTCAATTTTGACTTTTATGTTTGTTTTTATAACCGAAACTATGTTCAGCTCCTTAAATAGTACGTTAATCCAATAAATAAGGAAGCTTCTTGGTATTTTTCGAAATCATAATTTTTAAGGACCCTTCTCCTCCGGCGAAATCACTTTTATTTAGGACTCAGAGAAAGCTGGGAGCCATCTTTACGTAACAATAATTTTAATATCTCGACTACAACATGTAATCTGGAAGGATCGCATTTACTTAGAGTGCCACTTCTATCTAGGCAGTGGTTAGGCACACGGCTCTTCAATATGAAATTCAATCTCTTACGTAAGTCACTTGTTAGTATAACTATTTCGCTTGTGAAGACTTCTCGAATTTTTAGAGGATTTCATTTCACCATTTCGGGAGATTTTCGTGAAGGAATTTTTTTGTAATGATTAGATAACGAAATTTAATAAGTTAAGATATCGTTACGTGCAAGAGAAATAACAACAGCTCTCTGTGGTGTCTTTTAAATTAACAGTTATTGTTAGTCTGAGAATTGTAAATAGTTCGGCAATTAACATACTTATGGTTAGCCATCTTGTGAGAGATTAACATAATTGAACGCCAGGTTACTTAAAAGTCATTATTAATTGAGAACTTTCTATCAATTATATTAAATTGAAGTCGCCTGGGCTATAGTCAATTATTTTAATTTCGAGGGAACTTTCGTAATAAAGATTTTTTATTTATTTGCAACTATCATCACAAAATAATAACTCAATTTACAAAATCATAACGTTGTTTTCATAAAAAATAAAAAGAGTATCAGTCAAGATTTATCGATTGTTTTGACACATATATCAATCAATCAAACTTTATTTGTTTTAAGAGAAGAACCCTATACAAATGGATTCTATCACAAAATAACAAACATTATTATCCTTATGGCAATGCAAATTCCTTTTTATACTACATAACAGATATTACAACATTCTTAAGCAGAAATTAAAAATCATATTAGGTAAA